AACATAATCCACACACACACATACATTCACACCAAAATGGAAGACACTGAGAATTAATTCATGTTTTGCGAAAACATTTATATAAATAAACACAAGAATATACCATATATCAGTTTCAGGCTTACATGTAACTAAAAGAAAAAATGTAACAAGAAAAATAGAATATTTTACATCAAACAAAAACACACCCTTATCAATAGATACATCCTCACGTTGTTGTGTGACAGATGGGAGTACCATCAAGTTGGGTCAGACCACAGAGATACTGCCTAGCCTTTCTCACAACGCTCAAGGACTCCTGCCAGGTGACATGACTCAATGGATATTTTGACCCTTTGTCGAATGGATTCTTGTTGTTCATAATATCAAAAAAGTGATCTACTCCCTGACAGAATCATAGACTTGAGATACCTTCTATTTTAATGTATTTTCTTAACCTATTTGCCAACAATTTGTATACTGCACATATGAAGATAGGGTTTAAAAGCAAAAGCTTACCTCAATAAGTCGCACAGTTGGTAGACAGTCGTGAAATTTGCTGTATCCCACATCTTTCATCACTCACAGAGTAGTTGCCACAGATTTGCTAAGTATTTGTGCTGCAAGGCACAAATGATTCAAACAGTAGATATTTAATGGTAACCTTGTGCCATATGCAAACCTTCCTATTCCCGAATGCTGTTGAGGTGATAAAAATATTTTCATTTAATTTCTCCATCTGAAGTAACTAAGGGACTGTAAGCATGCATCATATTACAGTACATACAAGTTTTAACATGTGACAAGCATGCATACGTATGTATACATGTTTTCCTGTGGTAGGGTAAGTGCGTTAGAAGAGACTCATTACCAGCACCAACCAAAGCTGACATCCTAGCATGTGATGCATCTTCACATTACTTGCATGCCCATCCATTGTGATACGGTTTACTGTGACCCCTTGGTAATGGAGTGCTTCCGGTATGCGAGTTAAATCTTTCTGGGAGTCAAGTGTCAAAGTTAAAGCCCAACCACCATCATCACAAGGGCCTCAGATGCTACATTATGCTCAGCAGCTCCATCAAGGTCCACAGGATCTGTTATCTTTTGGTTTTGAACACCATACTGGATTTCTTTTTTGAGTGTCATTACATCTGTAATAAGACACACTTGGCCATACTGCTGTAGCATAAGAACATAAGAAATTTACAAACGAGAGGAGGCCATTCATCCCATCAAGCTCATTTGGGGATCTTTCTTCACATTCTCTCCTAGAATATTGAGCATTGCTGCATTTATACCTGGTCCTTGTATCAACTGACTGGAAGCACCTATATAACACTGTCAATCACATGTTATTTCTAGCGTCCTTTAATACAGCTTATCTTGGGGCCACTGGTAGATAGATCTACTGTTCAAATACAGTCTAGTCAATGCCTGTACTGTGCAACAGTGAAGTTCCAATTGTTTGATACAGTTTGTGTTAGGCAACCGGACATTGTCCATGCAGTGCAGTTTCTGACCCAATGATAATGCAGTATTTGCCTATGGTAGGATACCAGCCTTTGTAATGTAACAGGAAGAAGAAGAGGCAGCTTAACAGTATTCCTCAAGTAATTATAGGCTTTTGGCCCATAGGGGAGAGTGGGGTGATTTGTGCCAAGGGGGAAGTTGTGCCACCCCCTGTTTCTAGGGAACCATAGAAGAAATTGGTCATGTGACCACACATTTTGAAGAGTCAGCCATTTTACTCATCCTGCAAAGAAGAGAGCCTAATTGCATGAGAGGTAAACACATTTAAGTTCAAAAAACAGTTTTTAGCCTTTCAAAGTACATTTTCTATGATCAAGGTTTTTTGATTGTTGTGTCTGAACAGTTATAGACAAGTTTGAAAACATTTCACACATGTTTTAGTGCTTTGGTAAGCTACACTATGAGTCTATACAGCTAGCATGATGTTAGCTCAAAACTGCTGGATGATGCATTTTTTCCAAAAGGATGGTGTTGGGGTGATTTGTGCCAAAGGGTCTGGGTTAAGTTGTGCCAGTGGCATAACTCACCCCCACTTGTGAATATTTTAAACATATTATTTTATTGTAATTGTACATTATATTCTTACATTTTATCACTAAAACTATGTGGCATTCTTAATTTTATACCAAAAATAGAAATAGACCATCATGCCACGGAGTTATAAAAGGAAGACAGGCAGGGCTTCCACTCCTCTAGACGAGATGGACAGAGCAGTGAAAGAGGTGGAGAAGGGGAAGTAGTAAGAGGTCTGTGGATGGAAAGCCCATCTTCACTTTCAAAGACAATGATGAAGGACTCATCCCTATAGAAGATGTGCATAAGAAACTACCCACACCACAAAAACTTGGTGGTACAGCCAGAAGGGAGCAGAAATTTATATTCCCCTGTAGCTTTGACAAGTGGGATGTCATGTAGTCAGCCAGATCTGTGAAGAGAACTGCAGTCAATTTGGTCTTCATTTGAATTTAATTTTGTTCTGAACATACAGTACATGTGCTCATGTTGCGCAATATGCTTGTAGAAAATTGACCTTTGATGTCATAAGGACTATAACTTAATAGCCATAAGGACTATAACTTAATTCTCAATGTACTTTCCTCACAAAATTACCTGAATAAAGCTCTAGTTTCTGTTACAGCTCATCATTAAGCATGTTTCTCTCTTTCAGTTCAGTTAACAGACTCACTAATTTCTTTCTGTCTCTTCTGTTCCTGTCTTTGACGCTTCTAAGCTGTTTCTGTAACTGCTCCATTCTCTGTTCCTTTCCACCCAGCTTCCCATTCAGGCTGGCTTCAGACTCACTGGTGTAGGAATGCAACTGCAATAGAATTAGTTTTAATGAACATTTTAAAACTATGTTTTATACCCAAAGTATTAATGTGGACAAAAAAAAAAGCAAACAGTTAAATAGCAGACCAATACTAAATGTAAACATATACCATGATTGTTCAACAGAGTGAAAAGTGAAAGCATTAAAACTTCAAATCAATTCTCATTCTAAGGAATCTTAAATAAATCATATTGTACATATATTGATGAGTAAGTTATTGTAGACATATTACATACATCATGATAATGGGCAACATCAACTATGTCTGCAGAATCTCTTTCTATAATTGCCCGTCTCACCGCAGCTGCTCCCCTCTCTGACCTGGGTTTTGAAGGTTCTTATCAGATAATTTTATTATATTTTTTTCACATTGATATTTTCAAAGCATGGGCGTAAATTTCATTTAACAGTAGGGGGGGACAATAAATATAAAATTTCTCATGAGCAATTTTTGAAGGGGACACAAATAATACAGTCAAATTGTACTTATAAAGATATGTCCCCACAATGAAAAACTTTGCTTCTATCATTATTATTGTAGCATGGAGACTGCGTCATTATGGTTATTTTCAAAGTTTTTCCTCAGGTTCAATGACAAAGCAGATTTTTCTTCAAAACTATTTATTGCATTGTTTGTCATGTTGTTTACAGTCAAGCCATCAACATACAATAAAATTTAAACATGACTGTTTAAATGCATAATAGAAATTGATTATACAAAAAAATACAGTGGGGTCAGTTCGGACGTAGCACAGTGCTCATTTAGTAAATGCACAGCTAAACAATATGCTAATTGTGGCCGTTAATGTTAAGTTAACATTATGCCAAGTCGTCACAAATAAAACAATGCATGGGAAACGGATTTGGCGTGTTAGTTGCAGTGCACTATGCAACAAGCTATTGTAAACAAGCTAACGTTAACTAGATAAGTAATATTTTAATCGCTAATATAGCAGATTCATGGAAAATTACATCGGTAATCAGCATTTTTGCCGCAACTAATTTATGAATGAGTCTGCATCAACTACATTAAAGAGAATCGCTTTATTTAAAGTGAATAAAATACCCTACTTACTGGAGTTCAACATTAATTGAGCCGCAGACACACACCTGACTCGTGTGTGTAGAGTAGGTGAGATGAACTGGGAAAGCAGGCAGTTGGCCAAACCACTATGAGGAAGGGGAGGGGGAACTCAACCGTTTCTTAATGCATTTTTTGCGTTTGTTTTTTTGTTCTACTTACAGAATTATTTTAGGTATACATACATATATTTTTCACCATAGATAGTGCGATTTTTTTTATATATATATATAATTTTTTGGGGGGAGGGACAACCAGGGGCGGATTAATCCGCCCCTGGGGACAACCCTCGGATAGGGGGGGACATGTCCCCTCCGTCCCCCCCGGGATTTACGCCCATGGCAGAGCCCCGTGCTCTTGTAGGTTAACTGCAGCAAGGCATTCACTGGACAAAATGTATTATTTCAAAGGGCAAAATAGCTAAGCACTAATAAACATGTCTTTAATAAATGACAGGCCAGCAATTTAATGGATCTCTTCCTTAATTATTCAGAGGTTTATGTCCAAGGGAAAAAAAACCTCAGAAATATCAGTAACCTTTTGAGCCCTAAGCATATACTTTGCAGATAGCTTGACATGCTGTTGCTTTGCCAATGTGTTCAGCATTGCCTGTATTAGATACGAACATTACAGTAGGAAAAAACGGAGGGTCATACAAAAAGTTTGTGAAGAAGTGAAAATCCACATTTTGTGATGCTTGAATGTAAGGCTTATAAACGGTGCTCAAATAAATAGAATGTGATGAGAAGGAAAGAATGTATAATCTGGGTCTAATCTATAGTTAGCTCGTTTTAACTGTTTATGGCATTTTGCTTTTATTCCTTGTTGCTTGTTGTTTTCTGTGTTTATTGCACTCACTGTGCCTTGTTTTCTTATATAGCGTATCTGGGTTACTGAAACGCAACATAATGTATTACTATCACTATTAAAAATCTGCTAAATTTAATGATAATTTTAAAAAAAGAATAATCAAAACGGCCCCTGTGGTCGCGCAAGTCTGGTTTATGCTGCATGTTTCACTGATTAAGACTTAACGAAAACGCCTTTAACTAATTTTGAACCTTTGCAGATCTCGTAGTTAATGAATAAGATACGTTGTAAGCAAACAGGTTATGTTTTCTAACTTCTTTGTTCAATGGACTAAAATGATACCGTAAGTTGCGTCTTATAAGTAAAATTACTTTTATGTGAAGTGACTCTACGATATGTTTCCAATTCATTTTGGTACAAATGCACGTTACTTTGCGCCTGCTTGTACTATGAATGTCTTGTGTGAACTGCATAAACTGGAATTCCTTTAGAGAAACAATGTGCTTACCAGCCTCAGCAGCCTGACTACCGTTACGCGGTTGCATGGTTGATTGCCCATCCACCTGCAGTACTAGTTGCTTACTTCAATGACCACCGGCACCACGGTCCGTTCGGGTACGCCAAAGCTGGCGGGTTTGGTGCAGATAACCGATCATCTGTACCTGAGCAACAGCAGGGCTGCAAACGACATCGTGATGGTGTCTGCATGCAAGATCACCTGCATTATTAACGCCACCGAAGACGCCACCAGCGTCCCCGTACCCGAAGTTGAATACGTCCGGGTACCCGTGGCTGACTCGCCGGACGCCCGGCTCGGCGATCATTTCGACACGGTGGCTGATAAAATCCAGCGGGTTGCAGAGCAGTGCGGACGTACTCTGGTGCACTGCAAGGCTGGTGTGAGCCGTTCGGCGGCGCTCTGCCTCGCCTACCTGATGAGACACAGCGGCATGACACTCGTGGAGGCCCATCGTCGAGTCAAGTCTCTCCGACCGATCATCAGACCCAATGCCGGCTTCTGGAAGCAGCTCATTGACTACGAGTTCAAAATTCATGGGAAAGAAACAGTAAAAATGCTCATGTCCCCTGTTGGAGAAGTGCCAGATTTATATGAAGGAGAAACAAGGGGGTTGATACCTTTTTAATATTAAGTAAGAACTCATTAAAACCTGTCCTTTTACGCGATATTGATCTTAACTGCTGGCTACTGCACGTATGCATTACTTCTGTTGGAAGTAATGGCTTTGTCAAGTATCAGATTTGGTCTGCATAACATACCAATGTTGCTTACAGTTTCTTACATAGTCTTTGTTTATACTGTAGTGAATTAAGTTAGTAGAAGATTTGTGATTAATGTACTATATTTAAAATTTGTTCATATTAAATGCTATCCTTGAGGAATTCCCCTTTTATTAAAGTTTCTCATCTTTGCCATGCAGACATCACTTATGTTAGAGGAATATCTGCCCACGGGTAATGCAGTAATGCAGGTTATCTTTCATACAGCAATGGGTGCTGTCCTGGGTCACCAGCTGCAATCGGGGCTCTTTAAATTAACACATCTAACTTGGATCACAGTGCAGTGTTCACACATTGGGAGCATTTAGTTATATGGAATGTCCTCATGTTAATTAAGTACTGGTGGGCAGACCTCTTTTCTCTTCATGTGTGAAATTTGGACATGTGAGGGGAGGGCTAGCCAGCTCAAGGGCAGAGGCTGACCTAATAGAGCGGTTAAGCTGGTGATGCATGATGAGAAGTGTGCAGTCATTATGCAGTCAAGGAGTCTCTCTGAGGCTTTTTATTGTGAACAGAGGTGTGAGTCAATCCCTGGACTCAACCTGGTGAAGGTGGTAGTGGAACTGTAGAGTGTACACTGATGTTTTTTCTCTCTCAGTGCTTTGTTTAAAATTTAAGTTTTTTTTTTTTTCTTTACTCTGAGCTTGCACTTGTCTTTTTTTAATTGCAGGCTTGTGAAATTTTTTCTGGGTTCTCTTGTCGATTGAAGATATCTCCAAGTTCACTGCCTCGAGGGACCAGCTGAGTTGCTCCCTCTGCTGCAACGCTGTGAGGCAGATATATAGATGATGCCAGGAGGCCTCTGTGTTTCCCACAAGTGCGCTGTTTAGCCTGCAGCCAACAGCAGATGGCGCTGCAGAGAGGGAGGGATGCAGGCCATCCCTTTGTAAATCATCTTACGGAGGAGGGGTCAGATCATATTCCTCAGACAGACAGCGAGGGGGGTCAATCGTGAGGTCCTTCTTTAGGATACACCCTGACCCTGCTTTAACAAGTAGACCACTGACGAGTCCCATTCTGTGGAGCTCAGTACCCTTGCCAAAGCCCCAGAAATCTGCAGGGGCCCTTTGCCCATCCTTCAGTTAGTGGATAAGCCGTTTGTATGTTTTTTTTGTGTTACTGTTCAATGTATGTTTTACTTGTGAAATTTTACATTTTAAGAAATACAGCTACACATTGAAAGAATGACAATTTAACCCCTTTTCATTTTAGTGCAATCATTTTCTGTATGACTTTATCAGTCTTTCACATCTTTTTTTTTTATAATTTTTTTATTGGGTTTTTGTTTGCATTACAAAACAATGAAACTATTGCAACACATCACAAACAGAACCAATAACATTCACGTACATACGCACTCACACACACTCACACACATTTGCACAATCCTCATTTCAATGTATAATTTTGCAAAATAAAATCAATGCAAAAGTTTGAAATAAAATAAAATAGGTCTACGTAAACTTCAATGTAACAAGGGTCACCCTTAAAAATAAAAAAAATAATAACAAATAAATAAATAAATGTATAAAATAAATAAATAATTTACATTCCAGATTCTATAATACTCATATATGGTTCCCAGAGATGAATAAACTCTTTCTGATTCCCCTTAGCAATGTATGTTAGTCTTTCGAGACCAAGGCACTCTGACAGTCCCCTTATCCACTGTTTCATAGAAGGTGCCTCTACACTCTTACAAAGTCCAGCAGCCTAGTCTGTTTCTGCATTTTTATAAAGTTCAATGGATAAATTCCAAGTATACATAGCTTAGCAGTTGGTGGTATGTTAATACAAAAGACTTCTGACAGACAATTTATAACATCCTTCCAAAACTTCTGAATCTTTGGACACTCCCATAAACAGTGAAGAAGGGTTCCCTTGTTATCCAAACATCTGGAATGTTGCCAGACATATGGTGAAGTTTGACAGGAGTCATGTACGTCTTCATCAACCATTTATATTGGAGGAGCTTAAACCTTGTATTTATTGTTTGTGTTTGTGCCTTTAAACAGGCCCCATTCCAATCCATTTCAGTTATGTCATCTCTCCAGGCATTTAACCTATCCATTGCTGAATCTTTAGAAGTAGATATTAGGATGGGAGGCAGATTTATCAATCAGCTGGGACCACAATTTCTGGTCTAAGATATGTTTAAAAACCTTTGAACTGATTGAAAGTCCCAGTTTACAATTAATACAATACTAAATCTTGCATAGAGTGCACTATACAGGGCATCGGATGTTCAGGATGGGTTTTACGTCTTCTAACAACTGCTCACGCTGTCAAGGGGATACACCTGACAATTACATCCATGCTCTTTGGTTCTGTCCACCTGCTCAGATGTTCTGGCGCAGGATTTGTGAGGACTTATCAAAGTGTCAGGACTGCGGCCCTGGCCTGGATGGGGCTTTGGTGGCTCTTGGGTGGCGTCTTTCTGGCGGCTGCATGCAGCACTGCTGGGGTAGCCTGTGCCGGCGGACGTAGGTTACCGGCCTGTTGGCCGTGCTGCTTCTGGGTGAGTCTGGGGCGGGCTTGGGGTTCTGGGGGCACTCTGCCTCCGGGCTGGGGTTCCGGCTGGGCCGGGGGGGCTTGGGTCCTGGTGGGTGTGTCGCCGGGGTGTGGGTTGGCGCGTGCACTGGGGCCCGGCCCCGGCGCAGGGGCCTTCGGCACGTCGGTGAGGCTGGGGGCCTCTTTAGCTGGCGGGGAGGTTGTTATCCACTCTGTGGGTGGGGAGGGGGGGTGGAATCCAATAGAGGAGGAGAATGGACCCAACCTGGGTGTCTATTGTCTTATGTAGTCTGGGAGTTGACTGAACGGTGTGGTG